ACGTCCAAATCGTTTTTTTAAACTTTGGCCATGTTTAGCATGAGAATCCAACTCTTTTAACAGTGTAAATAGCTCAGAATGCATGAAATAGCATTAGACCTACCTTTAATATAACACTCATTAAATATTGGTTCTGCATACCAGTTATCAGACACAACAGAAATAACTGTCAAGGAATTTTTCTTATGTGTTATAACAGCATATGGGTTTAAAGCCACATGAGTGTGAGTAAATGACAAAAGAGTTTTAATTTTGGGGTGAACTATCACTGTAACCTTCCTTTAACTTTCCTGTTATGACCACTGACAGCATCTTGACAGCCTGAATTCACTTTAATATTAGTTGAGTTTTCCATTGCACAGATCGTTCCGGACTCACGTGTGTGGAAAAGATCGAGAAGTGTCAGGAGATGTACTTGTTAGCATTCGAGCACTACATCAAACATCGCAAGCACAACATCTCACACTTCTGGCCCAAGCTGCTGATGAAGGTGACAAACCTGCGTATGATCGGCGCCTGCCATGCCAGCCGCTTCCTGCACATGAAAGTGGAGTGTCCCACAGAACTCTTCCCCCCGCTCTTCCTAGAGGTCTTCGAGGATCAGGAGGTGTGACCGAGAGCCACAGGGGAACTTGGGGAGGGAAAAATGGGGGCAAAACTGGTCGTGAATTTGTTTTCGCAAAGCATACCAGAAGCATTTGATTTTTGCATCCTCATGCAATGCCGAACCAGGACATGTACTTTATTTTGCACCATCAGCTTTGTCTGGGATATGTTTTGGGTTGTCGGCCTCCACACCTTTCGACCCGACAGTCACTTGCCATTCAGATTCCTCCCACAGACAGACAAAATGCTAGCATGCATCAACCTACCTCTCATACCAACATACCTCCCAACCTCAGAAGGAGCTTATTTTAAAAGCGTGACAAAGAAACCCACACATTCAAAAGCTGTTTAATAACCTGTTTCGGAAATGCTAGCTGTTGTTGTAAGGACAGAGGAAACTTCTGTGAGCAACATCGAACACCTATATTTGGGTTCTACACGATTAACCTACAAAATAATGCTAATTTTCACTCTGATTACAGTAGTATTTTAGCATTCATCTTCCTCTTTGCACGCATAGAATATCTCCTTTGTAAACATAACTACCTGTGTGCACTTGTACACTCTGTACATACATTAATATGTTGTGTGAACTTCTCATACCTCATATACACCAGCATACAGACATACTGTACATGTAGCAACATGTCCATACATGTATGCTTACAATTCTACCTGCATTAACCTATCCATCTACTTACAATGCAGTATCTACAGTTCGCATATACCTTCCTATCTACCATATCCACTTGTATGTTACTTAAGCTGTACATTTTGTGACCTCATTTTCTGAATAGCCTCTTGTTGCTTTCTGACGTGTGACCCATTTAGCTGTCGTGAGGTATTTCCTCCTGTATTCATCTGTCCTAGTGTTACCCATTTGGACAGACAGATTGATATACATACATATTAAGCCATATGCTGTGGTTTGAGACACATCCATCTCCATATTATGGCCTTCTGACCGCTCGTTGTGCTCCCACTATCCTGTCTCATCAGATGGAAGTACCATATGTTACTACATAGAACTTAAAAGAATACTGTGGTATTATCGCAAAAAACATAGTAGTGCCATGGTACTTCTTTTAGGCGAATATTACCCCTCAAATCCATCCATCCTACCATTTATTTGGACAACATGGGGAGTACAGGATGGTAAATGGTCGTGAAATATTCAGGAAAAAATAAATCCTTGAAAATCAGAATTTGACAGATGGTAATAAAAGCAGAAACTAGGGGTTAGATTATTAAGAGTAGTAGTGTACAGTGTACAATGGGGCTCAAATAACCACTTTAACAAAAGGTGTTGAACAGTTTTCTGTTTAAGTATTTTATATGTAAATATGATTAAATACTAACATTATTTTAGTATTGTCTTTAAAAACTGCATAATTTTGTTTATGCTACAATGTCCATTGTTATTGGAGCAGTCAGTTCAATTTCAGCCATCTTGGCTTTGGCGGTATTTTTCCCATTCAGCTGCTTTAAAAATATAAAGATTTTAAAGGGATAGTTCACCCAAAAATGAAAACACAAAAAGAAGACATTTTGAAGAATCTTGGTAACCAAAGAGTTGATGGTAGCCATTGACTTCCACAGTATGGAAACAAATACTACCGTCAATCAACTGTTTAGTTGCCAACATATCAGAATATCTTCTTTTGTGTTCAACAGAAGAAAGAAACTCTATAGTCAGCATAAAATTAAAATTCATCACATTTGTTTTCTAAATGCATGTTATTGTTCTTTTTTGTGAACCATTCATTCGCGCATAAGTGCATTTTTTGGCACTGTTATGTTTAATCAAAATCACATACACTTATATCACAATCTGTTGCTACTTTAGTTTTACCTAATACAAATTTTTCCCAAATAATAATTTAGTAATTTACTAATTGCTAGTTTGCTGAAAAACTGTTGACTTAATCACCTTCAACAAAACTGAAAATCATAAACAAGCATCGTTGCAAAATGTATAATTTCAAGGACTCTCATTAGTTAGATCTGCAACATTTACAATGTTTTAAAAATTAATAAATGACTTCAAATAAACCTTATTTCTTTTGCAGTGCATAGCGACAGACAGGTCCTTAGGGTAGTACTGTAGTGGTGTTTGTGGCTATCCATTGTTTTGAGAGGGAAATTAATATAGAAATGACTTTTAGCCCCATTGTACACTACATCTGTGCTGATTTTGAAAGTAGGGAACTTAAAATCTCCACAACCTTTTTGCAAGAGGAAATGAGTGTCACTTACCTCTCCATCTCTTCAAACAGACTCTACCTCACCCCTCATCCGTGCGTCGCAGTCTTTTTCACTCACCTGCTCATGCATATATATTCCTGCTTAAACCTGTACATGAACGTGCACATTTACACTAAAAAGTCGCACACGTGTGACAGCAACCTCACTCACGTGTATGTATACTGCTTTCCCTTTCATGATGTGATGTGGGACCAAGTGTCAGTCTTGTTCCCTGTTTCTGAGGACAGTAAGAATGTGCCGGGCTGAATGAATGTCACTGTTCTGTAACAGAGCTAACCGATTGCTTAGCAGATTATTTTGCGTTAAGCAAATGCTGGAGAAGCAGCACAGGAAGATGGCTCCTGCGTAACACAAACCTCAATTTTTCTCAGCCCAGATATGTGGTCCCTGTGCCTCCAAACCTGACCTGTGCATGTGCGCCTGTACATCTCACACAAGAACTTTACATGAACTCTTCCCCAGCAAAGGACAGAGCCGGAGCCCCAAAGCATCCCTTCAAGTAGTTTAACCAGCTTAATTTTTGTGGTTAAGACGCATAGCAGGGTTTCAATGTCCTTTTTGACTGATACTGTGTCAGTATGGCTCCAGGAAGTGAGACGCAGCCTCCATTTAAAGTGACACAGAGGAACAAAAGGGCAGAAAGGACAAACTCACTGTAACTAGCTAAACTCAGGCACGGAGCACCCATGAGGCCATGCATCTGACTCAGGCTCAATCTAACCCACCAGCACTGCAAACATGCACTGCCCACAGTCACAATCTTCTGCACCAGCAAGGGTCAGCTCAGCTGAGCCCTGCCCACAGACCCTGTTCTTGATAACGGGGAATCAGGAAGCCATTTGTTTTGCTGGACTTTTATTAGAGCAGAATTCAGTCCTTTACACCTAGCCAGATCATGAATATGTTGATTGAGACTTTGACTCTTAAAGGGGTCATATCATGATATTTTGAAATAAAAGTTCATTGTACTATGAAATCAGACTGTAACTTTCAGAACTTCTTCCCTTGTCCAAATTTAAAGGCATTTACTGAAGCTATGCAGCAAACATGTATTTTTCTGAATATCAACATATGACCACCAACATTTACGTATTAGCAATTCTTATTTGGTGTCCACTCACTATGACAAAGCAAGATAGGTAATATTACCAGAAGGACTAACGATTAGAGTAAAATGTTGGAAATTACATCAAACTTTGTGCTTTTCCTGGCTGCGTGTAGCACCTACTGCTCTGCAGATCCTTCTCCCAGTGTTAATGGGCATAATTCACCCAAAAGTGAAAATTCTATCATAATTTACTCATTCTCGTGTTGTTTCAAATCCATACAACTTTTGTTCATCTTTGAACACAAATGAGGATATTTTAATATATTCTCCAAATTTGTCAATTTATTTAAAGTCCACACAACCAAAGGTTCGATGCATCAGAAAGTACAAAGACATCCTAAAAGTAATCTATATGAATCAAGAATCAAGATGTGCTTTATTTGTTAATTTAGGATTTTTTTTTACAAATACATACATAGATATCATCAAATATGGTTTTTAACATTTTCTGTAAGAAAAATAAATAAGTAATAATAGTTAGAAAAATGGGAAAGGTAATACCAGGACAATATCCCTTAAATTTACGGATGTTTCCTTTAACCCTAAAAGACAACATGCAATGCAGAGTTCAAAATATGGATAAAACAAATTCATATTTAACAGTGCATTGGGCCCAGTTTTTACAAAAATGATGAGAGAATATTTAAAAAAAAAAACAGACACTTGATGTGTGTTCAGATGATGAATGGAAGTCTTGAAAGGGAATCTGGAAAGACATGAGTAAATGATCCCAGAATTTTCATTTTTGGGTGAAATATTCTTTTAAGAAACATCATTTTGAAAAAGGTTTCAGCACACATTTCAGAGCAGATTGGATTCAGTTTACAGATGAGCACAGCAAAGCCTGTTGCTCATTTCACATGCAAATAAACTGTTTATGACTTAAAGCCAAAACAGCCTGTTCAATGTTAAGGATCAGCAAGAAGATGAAAAACAGTTATTAAAAACTAAATTTTGATTATTGTTGGAGCAAAAAATTATAAGTGGACCTCAGGGGAATTTTTTTTTAATAATAATAATAATAATAATAAAATGTATGATATGACTCCTTTAATAGATCTTAAAATAAGCGAAGTCTTCTCAACAGCCCTCTGGAAAATTCACACGCCCCAATAAATTCCATGTGAAATACATGTCCACGTCTGCAATGTAGCAAGTCATATTTGAGGTCCAAAAGTTCGAGTGTGAAAAAAAAGACCTGCCATTCCTTAAAAAAAAACAACAACTCTGTGCATCTTCTGATGAGGAATGTAAAAAAATAAAAAGACAAAGCACTCATTCTTAAGTATGAATACTTGCTGTATTTTATGTTGCGTGGAAAAAACACATTTGCAGGCTGTGAATTTTAAGTGAGCTGATTGTGACGAGCAATTGTTCAAACAGAGCAAAACTAAAGTTGATGTCAGACACTGTGCTTTGTTGTACGTTTTTCAATCTGAACTGTACTGTGGGTGTGCAAGTGCTCAGTGTGGACAGCCATCGTACTTCTAATGCGTTTACTTGGTTTGACACCCTTCATTAGTATTTACTCTGTCTGTCTCCCATGTCAAGATTGTCTTGTAGTGATTTGATGATGAGCACTTCTGTTATTTCAAACATTCATACCTCACATGTGAACGATATAAGAGGATGAGTTCAACATAGACTTATTAATGTCACTTTTGTGTCAAACACAGCACTTCTCACCTCTCCAGTATCTTAGACTGCCATAATGCGATCAGGCTGGAATGAATGTAGTTGCAGAAGACGTTAAAAACATAGTTAAAAGATGCCAAGATTTTTATCCAGTCAGAAAAAAGACACATCTGCAGCAGATCTGTGTTTCTTTGAGAGGTAAACCACCATCACCAGTACCTCAATCTACAGTATTCAACAGGGTCTAACACACAACAGGACCTCACGCACTTACTTTAAGAAACCATCCTCATCCTCACCACAGGCACCTCACTGGCTATTGATTTGTAAATCCATTCAGTGCAATAGACCAAGGGTACACAACTCAATACCTGGAGGGCCGCAGCCCTGCAGAGTTTAGTTCCAAACCTGCTCCAACACATATACATTGCCGTTTTCAAATAAGCCTGAAGGACTTGATTAGCTGGATCAGGTGTGTTTAATTAATGGAGCTTAACTCTGCAGGGCTGTGGTCCTCCAGAAACTGAGTTTTGCACCCCTGCTTGATTAGTAATATATAGATATATTTTTTCTTCTTTAACAATGATTTTATCTGCATTCTCTCTATCACAAATAGCTCTATATAATGACAAAGACAATGATGCTTGCACAAATGATGTTTGTCTGTGTCCTTTTCTTGCTCGTGAAGCATAATCCATGTGCTTTTACTCGATTTTGAACACTATGCTTATACGGGAAGTTGTTAAGATGCCCTCTCCTTTATGGGTCGGCGATGCACCATCTACTCCAGCAGTGCAGAATTGCTGTTAAATCATCCTTTGTAGCATTGTACATTATCCTTCTATGAAACTGTCCTAGTACAAACCTGTAATGGATGTGAAAGGCCTGTGAGGTTTTTCCCCTACAATGCCTCTCTGTTCAGTGGATTAGTGGGTGCAATGCAGGCTGTTTTTTTTTCTTTTCTTTTTTATATTTCAACTTTATTTGAGGAAAAATGTAACAATTTTAACTGATTCTCAAACCGCTGACCATCATTGGGACTGTGACTTGGTCAATATATGTATTTTCAAGATATTTGCTTTGAGCAATTTATTTGCATGTAACTAATTTAACAAATAAGATCATATTTCACATACAAGAACCAAGTAGAAATGATTAATAAAAAATGTCCTATTTAAAACCAAATAGCCAACTCACCCAAATTGACTTGCTAACTGCTAACATTTAGAGGATAAAAACAGATTAAATGGAAATATTAAACATTCATTTAGCTAATCATTTTATATGTAGGCCTGTTTAGGTTACATATTTAGATATTATCAACACACAGCCATCCTTCACCTGCCAGCCTATCGTTTAGCTGGCAGAGCTGGCGCAGGAATCCATCATTGGGCCCGATCTCCCGTTTCTCTCTCACTGTGGCCACAGCAGCTCGTACATCCATCCTGTGCTGCAGCATCAGGTGTGCGATCACTAGCGCAGCCGAACGACTGTAGCCTTTCTGGCAGTGTACATACACTTTACCTACAGAAAAACGAGAGACTGTGACTACTGGATAACATTGAGCGCCACATATACAGTTCTCAAAGAAACTTTCAAGATTTTAAGGTCAAGACATTCAACCAACAGTGGGCGTGGAAAAAGCAACAGAAAACGTATTTTTTACGAGTTGGCTATTTCATGTAAATATTAATGAGTAGAATTGATGTGTAAGAAATTTGTAGAAACCTAACCCAGGTGCAAGCTAGACGATCCTACGGAAACGTGCGAATGAGAGCGTACAAATCCACCAAAACGCAAAATAGCTACGAATCGCCATGAGAGTGTGTTGGAAAAACTGAAAGGAAAGTCTTAAGAGGAAACCCATTGAAAGGAACAGAATTTGTATTTGTATTCTAATCTAGCCAACAGTCCTCGAATTTGATTGGTCGAACGGCGCTCCAAGAAGGCTGAAATAACAGCCCAGCAGACGTTTCACTGTCTGTATCACTCCGCTTGTTCGCGCGATTTTCTGTTTTGCAGGTTACACATATTACGCCAGTAGGTGGCGAGAAGGTTCTTCATGGGCGAGTCACATTCTTTCAAAAACACTGCTTCATTCAAGCATGACACTTTTCTGAATGGAGTTATTGAATAATTCACTCAAACTATTGGTCATTCGAGCAGTAGCCTAAACACCTTTATTGCGTGTGCCTTGGAAATGCGCCGAGCTTTGGCTTCCTCTGGCGGACAAAAACTGACAATACTGCGTCTAAAATGTAAGTTGCTAAATAACTTATTGTATACGCTCACAATCATTGCTCATGCTAGCGTGATATTACCTACTTTTTTTGTAGCTTATATTATATTGTCTGGATAAAGCAGGTTGCTGTAGTTAAGTGAAAGAAACCCTTCTTAAAGCGTTGAGGTTCATGAAGCATATCCAAGTTAGCAGTGAGAGCAGGCAGCAAGCAACCATTTTATTATTATTAATGATTATTATTAGTGAGTCATTGAAACATTAAGAAGATTGAGGATATACTAAATAGACCGTTCACCCAAAAATTTAAATTCTGTTATCATTTACTCCCTCGTGTCTTTCCAAACCTGCATGACTTTCTTTCTACTGTGGAACATACAAGAAGATCATTTGAGAAATGTCTGTTTGGTTACCAACATTCTTCAAAATATCTTCTGTTATTTTCTGTAAAAGAAAGAAAGTCATACTTGACATTCACTCGTGAGGGTGAATAAATAATGACAGAATTCAACTTTTTGGGTGAACTATGCTTTATCAATGAGTATCTAGGTCTGAAGAGCCAAAAGCAGTACCACTGCCACTGAATGAGGGATGAGAAAAAGATATGAATCATTTTAAGCTTTTTACCAAGACCCTTCAGCTCTTTCATTGCCAAAGCTTGTTCAATGAAATTAGAAGCCTCTTCAAAATATACGCTGAGGTCAAAATGGTCAGTGTCAAAGGCTGGTATCCCATGATAGATGATCCCTGTATCCACATAGAACTCCGCATCCGTATTCACATGCATGTCCGATTGGCCTTCTGCAGCATTGAGGATGTGTGTCACTCCCAGCTGATGCAAACGTGTTACATTTGTAGCTACAGACCTGTTTAGATACAGTTAAATTACAGCTGCATCAGTATGATCATAGAGCATTAGAGGGCGTCCTTCACACATGGAAAATAGGCCATGTTTATTTAAAGGCTTGCCCTTGAGAATTTGCAACAGGATACATGAACATGTTTTGAATCTCAACTTATCAGATAAGAAAGGCTAAACATATGATTGCAAAATGTAAATGTTTGTTGAGCACTGCTGCTTTAATTAAAGAAAAGAAAAAAGAAAAAAAAAACGACACATCTGGAGGCTATGTGCACTTACTCATTTCCTAGGAGTATCCCGGGGTAAACTTCATTGAAATGTTTGGAGGGCATACAGAAGTCTCCGTTTTCATCTGTCAACAGATCATTGAGCTGCTGAACAGACACTTCGTAGTCTGTCATGTTCAGCTAAAGATAAATTGCCTTTCAAGTAGAAAATGCTGTTCCTCGGGCCTCAATGCTGACTTGATTTTCTTTAATCCAGTTCCATCTTCATTGTGTCGCCTTTTAGAGTATTAAATAATGGTCTAGTCTAGTGTTTTTTTAGTCCAATGGTCAGTATTCAGCTTAACATAATTCAAAAGGGGTTCACATTCATCTGTTAGTTGTTTTTGTTGTTCGGCCTAGAGAGAGTTAACTACAGCCAAGCACTCAAAGCTATTACCCTCTTTGTGTGCTTCAAACCACTAGGTGGCATCAGAAAGTCTTGTGTTTTTAATGATGGAATATAGCCTTTAAAAGGATATTTTTAGATGAAATCCATTTGGCATGTTTACATGTCCTGTGGCATGACATGCTATGCGCCATCTAAATGTTTAATTTAAAATCATTTTAATAATTTTATAGTTATTATGCATGCAACTTTATTTTTCATTTAACTTTTATTTATTTGTTTGTTTTGCGTTTATTTTAGATTTTTATTGTTTAAACTAAGAGACCACATGGAATATTTGTAGTTGTAAAAATTCATTGTCACACGGCAGGGACATAAAACTTGTCATAAATATATTTTCCTAAAATTAAGTTTGAAATTCCTGACAATGAAATATAGAGCACATTCAAACACATTAATGAAAGGGTCAAACTGAGAAGTTTGAAAACCAAAGCTAGATTTCAAGACTACTGTTGTAGCGAAGAGAAAATATGCAATAGTTTGATAAATAGTCAAGAAGAATGACTGAGGTTGCAAGCTTTGAAATATAGGATAGACATACATCAGACAATGGCATTTTATTCAAATTTACAAGAGCTTACAAAATCCACATTTAGAATAGGTTACTTATTCAGTCTTTTAAGAAAACCACCACAAAAACCTGCAAGCAAAAAAAATGTCAGTAACGTAAATCTTCATGAAACAAATACTGGGGAGGAAGTTGAAGAACGTTTGGCTGTGAGTAAACAGTGCTAAAAAGGGCTGGTGCGGTCTGAAACAGAGTGGACTGGTAGAATCAGTAGAGGGGATGCAAATTAACTGTCCTAGACTGTCCTAAACATCCCGTCACATCATCTGAGTTCTGGCCATTGGGTCTTGATGATGACCAGGGTACCAGTGTCCAAAAGAGTTCATATATCCTCCAGAGTGGATGGGGGCACCTTTGGTTGACATGGAAACATCCCACAGGGGCATTCCTGGTGAGCATGGTGTTCCGGATGCAGAAGCTGCTTGAAGGTGTTCTCCTTCTGGTCCACTTGATCCATGCTTCATGATCTTTTTGAACTTGGAACGTTTGTTCTGGAACCATATCTTTACCTGTAACATTTGCATTTGGATTAGCATTTGTTACAACACATGTTTGCACCTGTTTAAAAGCATATGGTGAACTTTATTTTTATTATTCATAACATAAGTCAAGCAAGACTGGAAGGAATTATCAAAATACATGTAGAACCATAAGCACTTTTCAGATGGGAAATATAGGGTGATGTTTGAGACCATATATTTAATTAACCATATATTTTATTAACTGATAAAATGTCAAACAGAAGGCCCCATGATGTTACTGTATAAAGTTACAATCAAAATCAGCATTTCACAATAGCTAATAAACAGACAAAACACAGTCAGAAACACATACAAACCGGTGATATTATGAACAATATACAATGTAAATAAAACACCCTGATCACAAAAATAAGCTACATAACAGTTAAAATAATATAGTCAAATCTAATGCATCACACAGAGACTTCTGGAAACTTTTTTTTTTCAATAAAGAGTATGAAAGCAACTTATTTATAAAAGTAAATAAAGTACTAAATTGAACTGTTGTTTTTCTTTTCATTTGAAACCACAATTTACTATAAAGGAACATGTTATCTTTGAAATACAGGTTTTCATAGTAAATTGTAATCCTTTTTAACAACAGCAACATTGCTATTTTATAGTAAAATTACATGTATTTTACACGTACTATTAAATTAATTATTTTTTACTATTTAAGATAAATTAACAAAGCATGAACAGATTTTACTGGACCATTTGTACTTTTTAAAAAAAAAATTTTTTACTACAATTACTAACATTTTAGTTCTTTGTTTTGTTAACTTTTTCAACAGCAGGGAAGTCAGACTTTTTCTTCTTGTTTGTTTTTTTTTACAAACACTGATGTTCAGAATTAACAGAACATCACAAGCAGACATTTTAAGAGTGAATCTGCCAGCTTTGATTCAGCATGATTTTTTTTTCAACGCCAGCTTGAGCTTGCTGTGAGTGAAAAGAGCTTGACAGTTCTTTGGATGGAATAAAACTGTGATCAGTCCAAAATTTTAAGCAGAAATCTCCCTAGCACACAATTGTGCATGCCTTTTTTTTTTTTTTTTAAGAATATATGATATAAACTAGCCTTGATATTATACTCTGGTGTTTTTAATTTCTTAATTGTGTGACTAACGTGGAAAATTCGTACTACTTGTGAATTTACAATCAAAGTCACACCCACAGAATTGTAAAATCTTCTATAATGAAACATAATTAAAGTGATGTGTTCCAAGAGACTTTTAAGCTGGATGAAAGTCCAATTTCCCTTTTAACGTTTTCTCTGCACGCTGACACCCAAAATAATTATTCTAATTTAGGATTTCACAATTGTTTTTTGTTTTTTTATGTGATGTTCCTCTTGCCGCCTTTAGAACATCTCTGTCATGCAGTGATGCCTTTATTTTTATCACTAAAATGATGTCTGCATGTATTACTATCAGAAAATAGATTAAATGAGCCGCCTGTACTAAAAAACAGGAGCAGGTGCCAGAGGCAGCATTCAACGCTTTCTTACTGCAGCAATGACAGAATTTCAATAGCTAATAAAGAGTATTTGGCTCTGCAAACTGGCCACACACTATCACACACACACATCTTAAAGTTTTGATATGTGTCTGTTCTGCTAAATATTTGTCCTGCTGAAAAGATACTTTTTTGTAAATGTCCTCAAGAGAAAACAGTAATAAATACATGATTCATTTCCAAACCAAAACAACAGAGTATTTATACTGTAATTGTATTGGAGGTTTAATATATGCTACACAAAAAATAATACTGTAACACAGTAAGTTATGATAGTAAGAGCATGAATGAAGGTCATAATGTGTTTAAAATAATATATAAATTATTTTTAGACCATAAATATTGCTTTTAGTTTCACTTTCACTCTGTTTAGTTTTAAAAATGTAATAATTCATATCTTTGTATTTGCAACACTACCAGACCCAGACTTTCAAACTATCAATCTACAAAAAAAAAGGCATTTGAAAAGTAGCCAAATAAATGGAAAAACATATTTTCAAGACAGTGACATTTTCTATAACAAAAAGAAAAAAAAGTTTACATCTTCATAACAGATGATTTTTATTTGTTAATAGAAATCATATAAAATTAGTGCCTGTACTTGAAGAAACAATGATTTATGATTAATTACATTTTTCTAGAAGCTTCAGTGTGTCCTTTCATTATAGTTACTGAAATGTAGGGTGAAGTCAGGTAAAATGGGTCATATAAGGTTGGAGTAGAGAGAAGTTCTTAAATTTGTTCGGTAACATAGACATATAGCTTGTGACCAAGGACTGGAAGTCACTAAATGTTGCTGAATATAATACAATAAATAATTATGACTTTAATAAATTGAAATATTGATTTCAGAAATATTGATGCTCTAAAGAGATTAACCATAGAAAGCATGCTTGGCAAAAATAGATAACATTAGATGCATGTTATTTATAAAAACACTGTCATAACAAAAAAAATGTAGAATGCATGTGTGTACCTAACATGGACTTTGTTGCAAGGGAACCGTTACTGTAATAATTATACAGTAAATCACTTTGCGTGAAATCATCAACTATTGTAAATGACAGTTGGATATTTACTTTCTTAATATAAATCTGAACAAAAAAGTTATAGGCCTATTCATACAAACTCCCTTTTATTATATAAAAACAACTTAATCTGAAAAATTATATGAAACACTGCCGTTAACTTTGCGCTCTCTTTGGTTGGAAACAGAACAGAACTAAACAAAACCGGATACTACAGCCATGGTCATATCCGCACTGATGAATCGCATAGTTACTATATCTGCATTCATATATTTATCTTTGTTGTCTAAGTATATGCAATATCTACGTTTGACTACAATTATGCGAGATATGTGGCTGCCACGATTTTGATAATTGAAGCAGATTAGAATCTTCAATTGAAGAAGGAAGAGAAGACTCGTGCTCACTTTTATTTATTTGTTTTTCTTGTTTGCGAAATTGAGGGCGAAAACCATTTGCAGGGTCATATATTACTTTCATAAGAAATATTATTAAGAATAGCCTATATCACACATCGAAGTTGTTCTTATAAACGTGAGCCTACATAAAGTTTTTAACTTGCCTGTCTTGTAAATACAATTTTTTTTTTTACAGAACCAAATTTTTGCTATATTTACAAACACAAATAGGCAAGTAGACGACATAGCATTTTATAACAATGCAAAATAGGCCTCCATGGTTATCGTTTATTTTTCGTTCCTTTGTCCCTGATAAATGGTTCGAAAAGGATTCGAGGCTTTTGATATTTTACTAACATTTGAACGATTTATTTGGGAACGTGCGGTAGAGATCAACTACACTTTACGCGCTACCAACGTTCTTCTTTGTCCATTGTACAATCCTATAAGACACAGGCCTATGCACAGTTACCTGTTGAAGTCTTCACATTGGTTTGTATTGTTCTTATAGACTAGACCCTATAAACGTCTGGTATGTATAGAAAGAATAGCGACCTTTAATTCTTTCTTATTAGCCTATGAACCATTTTGCTTTTCAGAACGGTCCACAAAAGCATGCAGACACACAGATACGCGATACACACATCATGGCGTAAAGTCGGAGTTATTCTCCATCTTTAATTCAGTGCTGTTATATGTTCATACCTGTGTTTGTGTCAGCCCCAGTTTGGCTGCCAGATCAGCGCGTTCCGGCAGCGCGAGGTACTGGGTCTGTTGGAAGCGCTGGTTGAGCGCCTGCAGCTGTAAGCTCGAGTAGATCGTGCGTGGTTTGCGAATCTTCTTCCCCTTGCCGTTCAGCCGTATTTCTCCACTTTCAATGGAACTTTGCTTCTCGGAATCTTGAGTAAGAAGATTAAATATTACATTTAAAAAATAATATCGGAGGTACTAATAACTAAATAATAAATAAAATAAAAAAATAAATAATTTCTCAAAAATGTGTAGGCCATTCTGTTCGAAGAAAAGGTTTGTCAACCGTATAAAAGACACTGGGTTTAAACAGTTATTTTAACTACATTAAATATCTACACGTAGATCTGAAAAAGCAGTTCCTGTGTAATTTGTAACTTTA